AGGAGGACAGGTTATGGGGCCACCTGAGAGAGGAGCTGTATAATAATTGTTCAATTAAATGTCACTTCATACTCTGCACTGAGAATTACGGTGTGTTTGGTGCTATTGTTTCATGGGTTTTGATAGTTTTTATCAATTAGAAATACCAGTGTAGGGCTGGTGGAGTGGCTCAAGTGGTAGAGACCTGCCTAGCAAGCATGAGGCCCTGAATTGAAACCCCAGTACCACCCCACTCCCCCCAAAAAAAGAAATCCTAGTCTACATTAGTTCCTGAAACATACAAACATTGAGAGAGAGAGAGAGAGTGAGTTACAAGCATGGCGGAGGGTGCGAATGGGGGCTGCCTCCTACTCTCCATTGGAATCAAAGAGTTAAGGCACTCTGTATGTCAGCCATTTGGGGGTATCATAAGAAATACTTCACACACCAGCAGTGTTGTACATAGAGAACATGAAGAAGCAGAACGGTCTGCCTACAAATACTGGCTTGCTTCTTCCTGTCTTCTGCCCGTTAGTTCTTCTGGTTACAACAGGCCTCCATGTGCTTGTACAGAGCTGCTAGCTCATTGCTGATGTAAGGTCTTTAATCTTGAAGGAGACTGAATCACACTCCAAGGAGCACTGCTCAGATCTGTACACAATCCACACCTGGGAAACTGGTGGCAAAATTAGTCTCAGAAAGTCATGTATCTATCAGATAATGAGGTGAAAGAACAATTTTTAAAATGCTATCAATAGCCCAGCTCCAAATTGTTTTTAGCTCCATCGTATCCTTTTTTTGTAAGTATAAAGTAGGAGAGGTTATTGAGATATAAAAGAATAAAGTGGGAGAGTAGAGCCCCAGAGTTAGGGGGTAAGGAGTCTCAAGAGAGGATGCCCTATGACATCCTCTTTTCTGTGATAGGAATATGATTTCAGGACTCGCATCTCAGTCAGAAATTCAGACTTTCATAGCAGCGAGCATGAATCCCATAGCATTCAGCCCGCCAGCCAGCTGGCTGGCTGAGCACAAATTCCTGTTATGCTACAACAGGTATGTGCCCGAGTCTAGACCTGGACACAGCAAGTGGCCCATGACTTGAAATTTTAGTTCAGAGTGGCACACACCACAGAAGCAACAGGTACCATTTCTATTCTTGTTCAGTTTGTAATGCTCCAGTGGTGCGATTGTTTTAAAATATATTTTAAGTAAATGCACCCACACACATGCACATAGGATATATATATGTATGGGAAATTAAATGATGTGCCCTCTTTTTACTAGTATGACTAAAGAGAAATGATTTGCTCCATCATCAGTACTAAGCATGAGGCTAGTGAGTGATTACTCTGCGCAAAGTTTCCTCTCCAGGTTTGAAAGGGAAGCTGGGGAGCAGTGTCAGTGATCTGCTGCTTTCCCAGCTGCCTGTTTTGTTTTTCAGGTGGGATTGCTAAGATTATCCAACCCAAGACAAGTTTAAATAACTGTTCCTCGGGATGGTGTGTGTGAGGAGTCCAGTGTCTACCCTGTAGCGATTACGTAGGGTACACTGCAAAGGTGTTTGTGCATTCTTTGTTTCTTAAAACAAGACCTGCTCATTAAACATTAAAGAATGGGTGGGAACTTTTGCCTATCTGACAGATATTTTTTAGGAGGAAGAAAACTTCCATCTTAAAAGGAAGATAATGTATAATTCCAGAGCTTAATGTGAAATGCTTTTATTTTTCCAGATAAGTGGATGAAATGGAAACAAAACTTAATATTAGGTTGAATTAGCAGGAATTCAGCAATTGTGTTCAAACAACAGTGAAATTGTAGGTTTTAGTCAGCCATAAACTTAGAAACCTCTGATGAAGGGTATCAGGCAGCTATAATTTCTTGAGGTAAGGGAAGGGTGTAGTACTGAACTGAAACCTATAATTAACGAGCAGGACAAGCGAGAGCACCTGTGTCTAGATAGAGAGGTTCTGGTTCAGGTAATGCTACCGCACAGATCCTGATGTCTTTTCCTGCAGTTCTGAAAGGTCTTGTTTTTAATTACTCTATTCATGTGGCCGCTTACTTTTGAGTTGATACATCTAAGGAACCTAGACATTTCTTAGCTCAAAGTGGGTTCACTGGACTGGAGATACGGGTCAAGTGGTAGAGCACCTGCTTTGCAAATGCAAAGCCCTGAGGTTCAAACCCCAGTCCAACCAAAAAAAAAAAAAAAGTAGATTCACTATTGAAGTAGGCCTTCTTTCAATATAAAACTGTATTCAGGTCAAATCCAAACACAATTAAATTCTGCTTTACTCTGCAAAAAAAAAAAAAAAGTTCTGGCAGATGACCAAGAAGACAGTTTCACCAAAAATGAAGCCTGTTGACCACACACTACTAGTACTGAGGCCTCTACTCTGAGAGAAATACATCACCCATGGCGGTGGAGCCAGTATCACAGCAGTCTGTATTGTTACCAAAGATAGCATCACTTCCAAGTCACTGTGCATGACAACAAACACAAGTGTCCACGTGTTCTCAGTAGAACATAAGGACCTGCAAGACCCCCCCTTTAAAATAGGAGTATACAGAACTGTGTACATGTTGTAAATGAATTCCAAAGACCCCCATCCTTTGCCTAAAAATGTAGTGAATCAAAGTTTGCTATTTGAAATTTGGCCATTTCCCAAGCCAGTTACTTTCTTCTAAATACCACTGCATCCAAACAAGGCAAAAAGTCTATGTCTGCCTACCTGCTGCAAGGGCCCTTGTTGGCAGGAGGCAGGAGGCTGCATTTCTGGTGCTCAGCTCCTCTCAGCAAGGGCACGGCCTCCCGTGAGCTTCTGTGATCCTTACCCCATGTTTATTGTTCATGTTTTCCTGGTTCTGTGGAGACTATACCTGTGCAGAGAGTGAATAGTGGCTTGTTAGATTGGATGCAGGCCTGGTTATGATGACAGAGACTTAACACGATGCCCACACAGGTGCATGCACCTGCCCAAAACCACAGCTGTACAGATGCACTCAGTTTGGATGGCAGCCCAGATTTCAGACTCCCACTGCCAACAGACTGTGTCCCCATCACTGGGTGCTCAGGCCCACATGGCATACCCCCAGGGAGACCACGGGACGTGACTCTTCTGGTGCCCACCTTACTTCTAATTGTATGTTTTCAAAGAGTAGACGTGAGGATTATTGTCTGTCTCAACCACAGCGGCTCCATGCTTCTGCATTCCTCTCTGTGACAAGTCCAGGCAGGAATTGTCTTAGAGCCCTTGATACAATCACAGTGTAATTAGCACATGACCTTGTCTTTGAAGTCAGCATGTGGTGGGTATGGGGCTCAGAGTGTCCTGAGGCTTGCCACCCCCTTTGATGAAGGGACGTGCTTATCGTATGTCTTTGTTTCTTGATATATTAACTAGAATATGCTTATCAGTTTATAAAAAAACCTATACTTTATTTTCTAGGGAGTTATATTTGTTAGGGAATGATTATCATTCAAAAAAGCTTCCTTCTTTAATAAGGATAAAGCTTATGTGAGGAGAAAGTGGTTGACTGCATGTCTGACTTATTTCAGAGAAGTAGAAACTAAAAGCATTCATAACCCAGCTTCCATTGGCCAGGGTTACACAGCACAGGCTGCCTGTGGCAAGCTTTGGTGTCTATACCTGCGTGGCTTCCTCCTGCTGATCTGACAAAATGTGGACCAGAGATCTGCTCTGGTTGAGAGAAGGAGTGGTATTCATAGGAAAGGACATTTTCAGTGGACAAGGATTCTCCTGTGAAGAACCACATTGCCTTTTGTATAACTCCTTCCTTGTGCTCATGAAGAACGGTGCTCTTCTGGAATTCCAAGCGTCCATGCTGGCCGGAACAGATGTGACAGATGGGCCACTTCTTCCTTCCATGTTGTGGTTAGAAAGTAAGCTGGGTGAGCTTACAGAAGACGGGGACCTGGGCATGTCTTCACTCTTCTGCACAGAGGCCACAGTGGCTACTGGTTATCTTTGTTCTTAGCATTTGTCTTTTCTTTAAAAAAACCAAAAGTATTCCCAGCTTCTCTCTTCATATAGTATTAGTTTTTCAACTCTTTCCCATTTTCCTTCTACTCTGTACCTTTTGGCTTTTACAATAAAAAAAATCTAGAAACCTTTTAGCTTTAGAAAAAACAGCCCATATGAAAATAGGACATGTAGCAAATAGTCACAACAGAGTAAACCTTTTTTTTCTTCTTTTTTGGTTGAGACGGGTTTGAACTCAGGGTTTGTGCTTGGAAAGCAAGCACTCTGTTGCCTTAGCCACCCCTCCAGACTTAGAGTAAATTTTTTTGAACTAAGTAAATGGTTAAGTAAACTCATGGCATTGTCTTTTTTCTCGCTCGTCATATGAATTGAAATGTATTAGATTGGTAAAAATAATTAAACTCATTCAGCTAAGAAGATTAACCTTGTATGTAGAGTGTGTATATGTATTCTATATATGTGCATACATACCACATATGTCTGAAGATTTTATTTACATGACACATACAATACATTTTTGTTTGTGTGAGTCTACTTGGGTTGCCGTAACAAAACACACTGTGCTGGATGGTTTAGCAGCAGAAGTGTGTGCCGCAGCTCTGGAAGCTGAATATTCGGGGTGAAGGTGTCGGCAGGGTTGTTGCTCTAAGGCCTCTCACTTGTGCAGTTGGCACCTTCTTTGTGCCTTCATGGCTTTTCCTCTGGTTTCTCAGCTTCCTTTTTGTGAAGACATCAGCCTCATTTCACCTTTGTTACCTCAAAGGGCCTACTTCCAAATACAGCCAGATTCTGAGGTACTGGCTTAGGGATTCAATGTCAGAATCTGAGGGAGAAATAGTTGAGCCCGTACTGGTGTACAACATGTGAAAATCTTTGAATCATGAATGGCGTGACTCTGTGGGTGCAATGTAAATTCAAACATTTGCGGGTTTCCTTACAAGCCTCCATTGTGTTCTCACGCATGACATCCCCAGATACAGAGAATGAATCATTTCTCCGCTATTTCTATTCTGGCAGGCCTGGCAGCTGCGGTTCAGCCACCTCGTGGGCTATGGTGCCAAATACTACTCGTACCTGATGTCCAGGGCCGTAGCATCCATGGTTTGGAAGGAATGTTTCCTACAGGATCCTTTTAACAGGTATTAAGGGTGGGGAGTTCATAGACTAGCCGACCCCACCCCCCACCCCGGCGAGAAGTGGGGTCTTTGTGAACAGTGTCTTCCAGTTCCTTCCCTCTAGCAAGCCCCTCCTGCCTCAAGACCACTGCCTTAAACTGCCACCTTACTCCGTAGCACTGTGGTCTGCAGCGGGGACTGCCTGAGGCCGGGGATCTTGTGCTGACTTCCTGACTCCTTGTAGGACTCCCTGTGACAATAGGAACCCCGAGCAAGCTAGGATTTGGCCTCATGATTCCTTAGAAGGCACTTCCTTTGAAAGCAGACCAGTAATTATGATCTCGTGTCATAGTTGTTTAAAGCACTTAATCTTCACCACCCAGTGAACACAGTACCTCTCAACAGTTCTGGGACACAGCTGTTATCTTCACTGCTTTACCTGCCTCTTGGTGTCTAGAGTGCCCTGGAGTTTACATATATTGCTCACAGTAGCGTGGTAGGAGGCTCAGAGAAGGCAGTGGTTTCTTCTGGATCCACAGTTAACAGACTGGACTGGGGTGATCCTGTGGGTGTCCTACCTCAGCTCCTGGTCCTTGCTGGCCTCCTCCACACCCTCAGCCTCTCCTGCACTGCAGTTGAGCAGATTTGCGTTTCCTCAGCAGTTAAGTTCCAAGATCTTTGGAACTTGAATCTGAAGTCATAGACCTTTTTAATGTTTTACAGCTTGGTGCCCACATATTATTTTGTCTTCTGCCCTTTGCAGACTGCAGACACTTGGTCTGCTTTTCAGATTTTATTATTTGCAAAGGATCTGCAGCCAAACTGGACTATAAGAAATCAATTTCAGGGATTGCAACACTTTACTAGAGAGTTCTATAAAATGGGCAAAATATCATCTTGTTTGAAGGAGCTGTACTTTATCAGAAAACCACATACTATTGAAAACATGTATTTCCAAATATATCCTGGTTATATGTGCATTCCTGCCTAGATATGCAGTTGCCATACATTTACTGATATATAAAAGTAAGTTAGTAAAAGTGCTTACTAGGCTAGGAAATTCTTAATTCTGTCAAAGAGGCCTTTTCTTTTTTTTTTTTTTTTTTTTTTTGAGACAGGATTTTGCTGTGTAGCCCCTTGAACTCACTTCCTGTCTGCCTTAGCCTCTCAAGCACTAGGGTTACTTGTAACCACCATGCCCAGCTGAAGTGTCCTTTTTGATCTCACTTCTGACCAAGAGCCTCTCCTGAGGAGGAGGCTCGAGGAGGGCTTTCATTTAGGGAAAGGAGAGCCATCTCCCAGGCCAAGGGTGAGACAGGGCTTTTCCTTAGTGCTTACAAAAGACCCAACCACAGTTGCTTTTCAGGGCCAACATGTTTCCAATGCTGTGATGCTGTGAAAGAGTCCAGTTAGAGACTACGTTCACAAAATTACCTTATTGTAAGGATGCTCCAGAGCCAGTGAAATGGAAAGAATACTAAAATTTATTTAACTTAGGGCCAGGAGTGTAGTGTCATAGTGAAGTGATTGCCTCAAGCACAAGGTCCCCCACGTCCTCCCCCAAAATTATTTTAACTCATCTCATCAGAGTGTATTGTCAGTTTCATTAAAAGAGATACATCTTCCATAAAATTTAAAAAATAGCTTATTTTTAGGTACCATTAATGTGGGGGAATTCTGCCTATAAAATTCTCTAAAACCTGCCTTCACATGTCAGTATAGACACTGTTCTTCATAGGAGTCAGGGTCACATGAATGCAACCACTGACAACAGATGTGAGAAGACAGGAAAAAGCAGTGCTCCCTTCTCGCCCTTGCTGGCAGCACACGCCAGAGCAGGCTTTTGTCCCCTGAGCTGCTTGGCCTCTGCTGTCTGTCCCCCTCTGCTCTCAGTGCCTTGTCCCGCACTCGTACTTTACAGTGTTTTTCTTCTCTCTCTGTTCTGTGCCATCTTGAGTTTTTTTCTGAAAATGATTTCAAACCTCCCTTTAAAATAGTCCTAAAAATTACATGGCCTGGACAAACATTGGTAAAGTTGATTACATCAAAGATCTAGCTATCTTGAAGCTATTGAATATTTTGGTCTCTCTAGGCTTTTACATAAATAGCGAAATTTGAAATGCTAAAAACCATGTTTACTTTTAGAACCCATTTTCCTTAGTAGAGACTAGTGATGCATTAGCTTCTGGAAATAAACTTGTATAGGTTCTTAATCGAATTATCCAAACTGGAAGCATTTAAATACTTTTGGATTTACTTTTAAAAATAAAGTACTTATATTTGTATTCTCCATATTTTGGAGTAATTATCTACATGATGTTTATAGGTCTGTGGTTTTTCACTCAGGAAATACAATCTCATTCAGTACATTTAGTTTTATAAGCCGAAGCCAAATCTTTGAAGGGCTTTATCAGAGGCACAAAGTCTAGAATGTGTATATTCACAATAGTGTACATTTTGTGCCTTAAATTACTTTGGAAAGTATTTTAGATAGCCTGGACAGTCCCCTCTGTCTTCATAAGAATTTTATATGTATTTATGAAGATGATTCTGTATTGTAGTAAATCTTTTTGCGCATGAACTAATATTGTATCTCTTCATATTCATTCTGCGTGATCTGTATATAGTACATCAAGTTTAGAGATGTGACCTTAAATTTAACTTTAAAAAAAAAATACTGGGAGGTCAATAAACTTTAAACTGCTTACCAAAATAAGTAAATAAAAATAAAAATTAGACAGAATAAGATAGCATCTTTTACTTAATGCATAAGATATGAACAGAATAAGCCCTTCTACAAAGAGAGGCTGCTTGCTAACAAAACAGCCAGAAATGCAGTTGGCCTTTTATGACAAACATAAAATAATCCGCTTGTTGCCTGGTGGCAGGTTTTCTGAGGGTGGCATGAGCGTGAGGCTTGTGAGATGCTCAAGGCGCTTAATGAGTGTCCTCTTCCCCAGGGCAGCCGGGGAGCGCTACCGCAGGGAGATGCTGGCACACGGAGGCGGCAAGGAGCCCATGCTCATGGTGCAAGGTAAAGCAAAGGCACTGCCTTTCCTGACCTGGTGCTCACTTATGGGCTCCTTTCTCAATGTTTTTTCAGGTTATGTATGTCAGTGTCTACTTACAAAATAGTACCAGCAATACACTAATAGAAAATTGTTAATTTGCCATAAATTCCCAGAAAATTTGCATTTAGATTTTACATCTTAAAAAAAATTTTTTTTGCTGTGTTGTTTTGTTTTTAGCCTAAAGAATTCATTTATTTCTTATTCTTTTATTTTTTTCTGAGAAATTTTAAGGTATCTGGGTAGATTATTTTTTACTTATTGAAAAATTAAAGCCTAATTAAATAATCTTTTGTGTCACAATGCTTGTTTTCCTGTGATTTTAGAGCAATTTTATGTAAGTATTTTTATGGAAAATCTAATTGTGAATAGAATTGATCATCACAGAGAACATTCATAGAAAGTACCCACAAATACGTCTGTGAAAATGGGAATATTATTGAATGCTCTTTTGTTTTAAGTCTTCTATTGAATGCTCTTCATACATTGGCAATCATAACGTAGCCAAATCCTCTCACAAATAACTTTAGAAATAACTCCCGGGATTGGGGAAATGTTTCCATTGTAGTGATTACGAGAGTCCTGGTGGTAACTGGTCTGACTCAGGCATCTCCTTGTCTGTGGCTATTGACTCTAAAGCCTGTAGCCATTTCTAGCATTAGGCAAGATCCTTACGTTCAACTCTTCATGTGTTCTTCAGACACCTAATGAGCTCTATTTACGTCCTGGGTGAGGTGGGGCAGTGAGAGATGCGTACACAGCTTTCTGCTCTTATAGAACGTGTATATACTCCATCGGCTTTCCTGGTTGGATGAGTGGTGCGTTCCTCTAGGCTCCATCTACTCCACACCACAGCAGGTTTTTAAAGTAAATCAGCCATTCCAGTGATGCCACACTTCCACAGAGCCATTGGTGGAATGTGCCCAGAATTGTGTTTTTCTGATGAAGAGCCGTGAGATGCTGCCTCTGCATCCTCATTGATTCATGTTGGCCCTTCTTGAACTTTGCTATATCCACAACTGTTTTGTTGTTGTTGGTTTTTTTTTTTTTTTTTTTTTTTTTATGTGCTGGGTGGAGGTACATTGTGGCATTTACAAAAATTATTACAATATATCGTACTTGAATTCACCCCCTCCACCATTCTCTTTCATCCCTCCTCTCCCCATTCCTGGAATAGATATCTTTTTTCCATTTACATACATGTGTACTTTGTTGTTATTGCTGCTTTCTTGAGATGGGTCCTTGCTGTGCAACCCAGGCCATCCTCCAATTCCTGGATTCAAGTGACTCCTGCCTAGCTTCCTGAGTACATGGGACTACAAGCACACACCACCACACCTAGGTAGAAGTACTTTAAATGAGTCTCACATAATGTTTACTTTTAATCTCCTTAGTAACCTGTTGAGGCAGGAATTTTCATTATCCTCATATTATAGTTGATAAAACAGGCCAGGTCCTGTCCTGTGTTAGGAGACAGTCAATGGAAGGGTCAGAATTTGAACCTGAGACTTCCAGCAGCAGTGACCAAGTTTTTCAGCAGCTTATAAAACAGGACACCTAGCTAATGATCTGCTATGGACCCAGGCAAGAGTTAAATGAATTGGCTCATCATGGTAAGCAGGTGATTACTTAAGTTGTATACTTTTGGCTGGTGGTGTGCATTTGTGGTGTGCAGCCACTGTGGGCTGAGGATGGCAGTGACACAGCACACTGCTCTGTTCTGGAGAGGGTTTCTGTTAGGTGTGGTCCCCAGGAGCCATGTACCTTATCCTTTCTGAGACCAGACTCTAAATGCTGTCTGCATGTAAATATTAATCTCCATCTAGTTCATCATACAAAACAGATAAGTCCTTCTTCTCTTGGTCTTTCCTTTGGCTGGTGTAATTTTCTGCTCTGCTTCTAAAGCAGACAGTGGTGCAACCTCTGTGCTGCAAATTCTGTTCCTTATCTAAAATGTTTCTGTTAAGAAACAAAATTTTTCTCCCTCAAATTCATGCACTCTTGAGAGAAAAACAAGTCCACAGTTGAGACCAGAGGTGCTAACAGGTTCCAGTTCTGATTAACACAACAGTGGAATAATCCATACTGTTCCATCAGATCTCATTAATTCGCATGACTTGTTGCCTGTCAGTTATGACCTGCAAAGAGGTCATGCCTCTTGTCACTGTGTAGAGTTGGATTTATAAGACAGAATCTGTAGTGGCTTCTCATTTTCTTGAATGCTACCAGCCTGCACCCAAAAATTATGGATGGTGGGGCATACCCTTAACTTTGGGGTATCCCTAGGTATGACTGGTAAAATTGCTGAGATTTGTGATATAAAAGCATATTCAGTCTAGTTGGTATTCCTAATCTATGCAAATGTGACTTTTTATAGGTGCTTTATATATTTAACTGCTTACTAGATAAATACAAAGATTTATGTAGCAGAAGACAAATAACTTGTCTTCAACTTGTTATTCTTGTCCTTCAACTTGTGTACCTCCCTGACCAAATCACAGCTTTATTTACTTCCCTAATGAAGTCTTGGGTTTCAGATGTACCCCAAGCAGTTTCATAGGATCCAGGTGTCCACACATGGTACTTATAGTCCTCTGAAGATAGACCTTCAGAGGAGTCAGAAACAGCTTTTAGTCTTTGAATAATAAATACTGCACTAAAAAAACTAGGTACACTCTTAGATTATTATCTTTTCCAGGGCCTGGCTCTGCTTATTCTCTGAGTCCCTCCACTATTTTTAGCCCCTGTCAGTGGAGGAGCCTGAGTGGTCAGAACCCATCTAAAGGGGGTCCTAGAGAACCCACAATTCCTGCCTTTCTTTTCTCCCTCTTGTTTGCTCCACAGTCATCAGTGCTAGGCAACCCTGTCTCTTTGCTCTTCAGCCCCCCCCGCCCCCCAGTGTAAGGTGCTGATTCAGCATTTCTTTCCCTAACTCTACCAAGGGGGCCTCATAGGAAACAGTAGACTTTTCTTAAAGAAAAATATTTTTTTCCTAAATACCATTTGAAGAGACAGAAAAGCAGGGTGGAAGAGGAGTGACTTGCAGTCCTAGCACTGCCCCTGAGTTTCCTGGGGTAGTCACTTAGTCTCCCTAGGGAAGAGAGGATGCAACTTAACTTCAGAATACTTCTTTCTAACCTGCTTCTCCTTTTCCAATCCATGAAGGGGTGTACATGTGTTCACAGGCACACGGCAATAAAAAGACATAGCATTGTAGACAGCATGGTTTTCAGTTTCCCAGCACACTCACGGCTCATCTTATGATATGCATCATAAACACAGTATTAGCTGCTTGTCCCGCACTGAACACAATATAGCAACGCTGACTGAAACCAGCATTCTAGTTGCTGAGTTTCTGGGTGAGGTTTGGCCCTATGTATTCAGTTGTCACTGTGAAGGATTTCAGTGGCTCCATTCCTACCCCACAGTGGTTTTTGGCTTATGCACAGTATCACATTTCTATGTAATAAGAGAACTTAAAGCTTTTGCTTCAAATAAACCATGATGATATGGCATTTTCATTCACTTTGCCATTTTATAAAATAGATACTGGAATGTTTTTTCAATTTGTGCTATGGTGAGCGTGACCCAAAGCTCAGTTTCCGTTACAATCATTCTAGCAAATGCATAGTTTTCTAGAACGAGAAGTATGTGCTGAGACTTGAATGCAGCCAGGAATCCTCCCTGTGTCCACAGGAAGCAGAGCCACTTCTCCCTGCAGTGCAAGAAGTGCATGGTTCACAGCCACAAGGGATGGAAGCAACACAATCCAGCAGTTGGTGCGATGCAAGTCCATGCCCTTTCTCTGCCAACTGTTTGTCCTCCATGTTATCTGCAAGTCTTGGGCAAATGGCCCTGGCCGTGATTTTAGGTTTTGATTTTACATGCCTTTCAATAGTTAGAAAAAAACTAATATATTGAAAACTTGTCGTCAGCCAGGCATTTGCTGCTGTGTCACTTCATTTATTTCCCTACTTTTATAAGTAATGAAACTTAGCCAAGGTTCCCACTGTTCATGCTGCTTTGCCCTTGAGAACTCTGACCTGAAATTGATCTGTAAGTAACACAAGCCTCCAGGCTTCCTGGTTCCTTCACTTTCCCCAAGACTATTTCTCCAGGGACGTGGAAGGGGACTGCCTGACACTACAATCAGCAGGAAAGTCTCCCTTCCTCCATTTCCTGTGAGCATCCCAGACATCTGGTGGAGCCACAGTGCCTGATGGGAAGGTTCTTGCCACAGCCCAGTGAGCCTGTACCCATCACGGGGCACCAGCCCAGTGAGCCTGCCACTCGCTATAGGGAGGTTTTGCTCTGCCTTGGGTCCAGCATTCCTGTGTGCTCCCCTGCAACCCTCCCACAAAGAATTGAGGGTGAGGGCCAAAATTCCAGAGTCTAGCCTTCCAGGAGGCTATTCATAAATGTTAAACAATATGTCTAGGCCAGCCTGGACAATGATCCTCCTATTTATGATTCCTGCATAGCTGGGATGGTGAGTGTGTGCCACCATGCCTAGCTTTTTATTGGTTGAGATGGGGTCTTGAGAACTTTTTGCCCAGGCTGACTTCTAAACCTCAGTCCTCCCCATTTCCACTTCCCGAGTAGCTGGGATTACAGACCTGAGCCATTGTGCTGGCCTTAGCTTTATTTTTAAGTCTCTCTAACCAAAAACAGTTGGCAAGTTCAGATACCAAGTAATAACTGGCAGAGTTGTACAGGACCAAAGATCAGATCAGATGAGAAGTAGGAGCTAAGTGAGTCATTTCTCCCCAGAACAAAACTTCCTTCCAAGCTGATTCACATAACCAAGGTTTAGCAGCCTGCAGGGCCAGACCTTAAGCTAATTAAAGTTATTTAATGCTTTATGTTTCTACAGAACTTTATAGTTGCCCAAACACAGTCCCTTCCCTGATTAGCCTACATCATCCTTCTAGGTCATTGAATATTATTTTTGTTAACGAAACAAACC